AAGCATTGAAATATGTGCTGAATATCCGACGAAATGTTTGAATAGTCCAAATAGAGTTCGATCGTTTCGAACGTTTCAAACAGTTCAAACCTGTGAACTGTTTTGGATGTTTGAAAGGGCTGTTTGGGCTGTTTGAACATCTTGCCTGAAGAACACCAAACATGTTTGGACTGTTTGAACGTCTAGCGTTTGAAAAACTTCAAAACACGTTTGGACTGTTTGAATGTTTGTCGATCGTGTCCGTATCGATGAACTGTTTCAGCGATGTTATCCAATATACAGTAGATGGTGAATGTGTCAGTGAAAACTTTGTACAAGTCGATTCAGATTTCTACGTATACCACGAAACTATTACATAGTGTAATGGAACCTTGTAAATCGGAGGAAGTAAACAGCGTAATGGATGAGAAGTTGTAAATAAGGGTTCCTAATGGATAAGTCGATGTAAACTATCTCTCAGGATCCTCGTAGCATTATAGGGTAAAATTCAATTCCCCCGTGCCGTTCTCTCACTCTCTCTCTTTCTCTTCCTTCCCGCCGTTATTAGATATCCCCGTCCAGTGGATTAAATTACAGTAAATCTTATTTTCCGCCGTTTCGCGGTCAGCAATCTCGGAATATCGTTACCGAATTCTTAATTTTTCCTCGATGGGTAGACAGCCCGAGGGAGAAAACTGGCTGTTTACGGGGGATCGCTTTATCCGAACGACAAGTAGGGTTCTCGTGGTACGTCCGAAGCTATTAGAAAAGTCCACGAGGATAAGATCCTGGTTTCGAACTGGCAACTGTAAAGTCCGATTAAAGTGTCCCCGCACGTTTCGGATTCCGTGCTCGTTTTAGCCGATTTGAGCTAGCATCGAACCCACTTCTTGCTGTCCCTTCCTGTCCACGTCGTATCGATCATTTGAAAAGTTCGGCCGCCTATGTACGTTCTGTAGAATATTCGTGTTCGTGTAATGTGAATTATTAAATCTGTGAGACACGTTATAAACTGCAGAAGCTTTGGGGCATCCAATATAGAGGAGTCTGGACTTTAGGGGGCTAAGATAGATCCACTTAGGTCTGGATCTCTGGGAATACGATAGAGCCTAAAGTAAACCCATGTTACGTGATAGAACTAATCATCAGTGGTAGATGGAATTCGGAAAGACCACTGGAAGTGTCGGTGATACTAGTGATCTGGAAGGTAGAGTGGAGCTTCCGAGAGCCCTGGGGGGCTAGAAAGTCTCAGGTATCTCAGAAGAAATGAAGGATGTCTCATTGCCAGTAGAGTCGAAGGTAAATATATTTATGTTACTTGGCAGAACTGACCGTAGAAGTAGAAGAAATTCGGAGATATTACTGGAGGTCTTAGAGGTCCTAGGGAACTGGCAGGTATGAGAAGGGGTCTCTGGGATTCCTGGATGCTCGAGAATCTCGGGAGTCTTGGAGGTCTCAGTAGAGCCGAAAGTGAACCTATATCGCTTGATAGAACTGGAGGTCTCGGAGGTCCTTGAGATATAGAAGGTATGAGGGATCTTGGGGATTCTGAAGGCCTCGGGAGCTCAGATGATTCTGTACACTTGGGGGTCTCAGAGTTCCCTGGGTCTACAGATCCTGAGGCTGGAGATCTCCAGATTCTATTAATTCCTCGGATCGTTAGATGATTTGTATTGCTTCCTTCGTCTCTGGGATGGTGTGTACTAGGTGTCCGGACTTCAATCTTCGTTCCTCGCCAATTCTTGCTACACGCTATAAACAATTTTCGTCTGTCCTCGGAAGTTTCACATTTTTTAGACGAAATACGTCGCGTGGCCTTGTAAGTCTCACTCGCATTCATTAAGCAGCTTCCAGAGAACAGTAAAAATTAATTATAGAAAGGAAACAATTAACTGCATTAATCCCGAGCGTGTTAGCCGTGTAATTTAAAACGAGGACGCGGTATATCAAACGGTGTTCGCAGCAATGTTCAGTCGCACGTTTGATGGGACGATTCTCACGGTTTTGTAGAGCAACGTACCAATTACTGAAACGATTCGTAATTTCGAAATTGATGGAGCGATTCACGAATATTCGATCCGTGTCAGCGTGTGTAGATAGGTACTGACTTCCGTTAGTGTGGCTTCTCGTTTAATTACATTACAGGAGCGCTACTGGACAGAGAAATAGTGAACAGAATCCGTTAAAGGATAATTGTAACTGATAGTTCGTGACGCGATAAATCAGTAGTAATTTAGCTGTCTGTCTAACTCATTAGCATATTTCGCTAATCAACGTTGTCAATTCCTTATTTAGGGCATAATTAATCGTTTCATCGTTGAACGAACCGACGCATTAGTTTGATCTGTTTACTGCCATCTGATTGCAAAATATTCTCATCGTATCTCCAGCTTAATTCAATGTACGTTCTATCATTTGTGCATAGATCTAGATACGTATCTTTTCACCTGATTTCCTTTTTGTACAAACGACACGTGTCAATATAGCGGTCCCAGACGACACGAATCTACGCGATTGAACTTCTTGTCAAGGCTGGCGGAATTATTTGATCGTGACATACTTAAGATCTACAATTCGAGAAGTGTTTACTTTTTTGTCAGATGATTTAGAGAAGAGGCAGAACATTCTGAAATACACGAGGACATTAAATGTCTATTTGCAAAAGTCTTATGATACAGGGAACACAAACATATCGGTGAATCCAGCGATGTGCAAAGCAATGTGTTGCGTGATTGTCGCACTTCCATGAAAGATTTCATTCGAACCATTAGCGTTTTATTACAGACAAGAGGAAACTTTTATTGCCGTGTCTGAAACTGCGTGAAATATTGCTGCGCGCTAACAAGGAAACCCGCATTCACGGAATTATTAATGAATATCTTGATTTAAACGAAACCTGTGTATAAAGTGGTTCTTTAAAACGAGGACAAACTAATTAAATAATTATAGATTAGGCTATTAAAAACATGTTCACAAATGGTGAATGGCCTCGACAAACTAACATGTCATAGAAAATGTTTCATTTTTTGTCTTTTTGTTCAAGTGATTTATTTTATTTGCATTTCTTATAATTAGAGTATCAATGTTAGAAGTGTTGTAGAACTTCTCTACCAAATAATAAAACAATGTGGATACATTTCGTTATCATACGAAGATTCGAACGTGATCGAAGAACGAGATTATTGGCATTTGTTCTAAAACTCTCTGTTTACATAACATTCGTATTTTATTGCTGCCTATAAAAAATACTGATACACTTCGACCAGAATACATTACGACATCGTTGTACAAAATGGAATGTATAAAGTACATTTGAAAAATTACATTACCATTCAATTTGCAATGATAATTCATATCCGTATAATTACGCGTACCAAAACAAAAGAGAAGAAGGAAGAAACTACATTATGACCACCAAATTAAAATTTCATCACGTTTTAAGTACTGAATTCTCGTTACAAGATAAAAGTTCACTACAAACATTAATCTAATCAATTAATACGTTAACTGTCACAGTGAAAAAGGTCGTACGTAGTCAGACACGCTTTATTTCGTTTTTTACGTCATAAATCGTCCAAAATATATGCGTTTAATCAATTGGAGTTGTTGGCCGTGTTTTAAAGTATACTGCAATATTAATTTTACGTAAAAATTTCATATCGATATTTAAATAATTCAGCCTCTTTGCAATATACGTATCACCCATATTTAGCTGATGTGGCAGTTAAAGTGTAAAACAGAATTAATATAACGCTGTGTTACATTATTTCTTAAAGTTGAATATATGCTACAAATACGAATGGAGCTACACAGAAAACGGGATAAAATCATAATTGTACAATCGTGCAAAGTTGTTTGAACGAAAAAATTAATGCCTGTACATCCAATTAAGCACACAACCGTTGGAAACCGTCACAGAATTAAATATTCTGTGAAAACGTCGGAGTGACGTTTCAGGTGGGAGGGGATAATCAAAACACCTGGGGAAACCACGCGTTTCCCTCGATTCCTCCCTCATCCGCGTTCTTTTTCACTCATCATTACGCGTCGAGTGCAATTCCAACCAGGGCTGCGTGCACGGTGTCGTTCCTTTTCGTTCCCCGTCTCATCCGCGAAAACACGCGCGCGCAGGTCTGCGACGAGCAAAATTTAACGGGCTTAAAATTCAGGTTAGGCCGTAAGTGAATTTCCCGGGAGACGTTGCCGCCAGTCTGGGAAAATATATGGAAATGACAAAGTTTTTCTGCGCGGCCGGAGTACCTCTATTTGAAAGGCAGATCCGTACTTGCATAGGCGAAAGAATAATTTCGCACGTCGTCCCGACGAGCCGCGCCTGTGCGAGCTTTAGTTCGCGGGATATAGGGGGCCCAGGGACCGTAGTCTGTGCGATCCTTCAAACTGCCTTTTTATCCGTGTTGTTGTAACTCGTCCGATGAATTTTCTGATGAATTCGGTTATCGAGACGCTATTGTTGGTACGAGAAACAGACATCTGATAAGTTGTTACATTTAGGTACAGTAATGTCTCGATAAGTGCGACGTACTCGGGTCCATTTGAAAAACTTTAAAAATCAGTTTAATCTATACTTTCATCTCACTTCGCAATAACGACTTAATCCTAAGTGAACTGTACACCAATGACAGCGATCGCACAATCCCTTTCGATTATAACCACGGTGGCCAAAATCCGTTATACTTATGCAGTACCTTTTTATAAACTTGACACCATACCACATACACGTATGTAATATTGTTCTAAGTTTACTGACTTTATTACTTGTATGCAACGTGATATGTCCACGGATTGTAAGCATAACTCAGAATGTAATACCTTTCCAATAGAGCATACGGTTCTCGAGTGTTCCTGATAGGCCATAGAATGGCTCTTATCCTGACAAGGTTCGGCCACCAGTGGACTAGTATCTCGAAAACGCTCGACACGGTACAGATTCGCAGTAACAAATGGGAATCTGGAGAATCAACTGTTGCAACCGGAGCGAAAATCGCGAAATCGGTGTACAATTAAACGACATGGTCCAAGCATCCAAAATCCTTCAGTTTCAACAGCATGTTCGCCAAGATTTCCGATATTTCATCCCCGCCCAACTCCCGCAACGCGATCGCCACTTCTTCCGTGCTTATCTGCGCCATATCTTCGGGCGAATGTTCGGATTTTCCCATCACTATAGCCAAGAAGAACGATGCGATCGCAAAACCAACCAGGCCCTTTTTCCTATAATCTTCTCGCATAGTCTCGTACGAGAACCTTTCCAGTTCCTCGACACCGTTCTCCGCCAAACGGCCCACCAACGTGTCGTTGTACACTTTTAATACACCGTCTAACATGTCCTTGTCGAGTTCCTCCGCGCAGTGCAGACACAGATAGGTGGACAGGTCGATCACCGGCGGACCGTATCTGATCATCGCGAAATCGATGAACATCGCTTTCACTTCACCGTTCGTTCGTTTGAAGAACGTGTTGTTCAAGGTGAAATCGCCGTGGCACAGCGTGGCGAGCGGTTCCTCGGGCTTGCAGATCGGCAAGACGATATTCTCGTACGAATCGCCCAGGTAAGCGTCCATTCGGTCGCAGAATTCCCTGTCGTGACCGCGATTACGGAGATACTCGATACTTCTGGTCGAGGTTCTGTTCATTACATGCCGTAACATGTTCTCCGGGTTCCCATCATACCGTGTCTCTGATAGGTTCTCCACGATGTCGAAGAATTCGGCCCTGCTGTGCTCCTTCATCGTGTAGCCCTTCGCGTGGAACAGCGCGATCTCACGGATCGCGGCTAGTGTGTACTCCATGGGGACGTTGTACCTGAAAACAGAGAATTTTTATTAATTAAGATGTTTGTCTTATGTGAATTAGTTGAAATCTGTTTCGTTATTGATGTATCGAGGGTGGAGGACGTGGAAATATATTTGTGAATGTTAGGACACTCGCTTCCCAGATAGCACACAGACGTCTTCAGACGGCTTAATGACGCCTTAAAGTCGTCTCAGATCTAGAATAGCCGTCAAATTGGCGTCTTCAAGGTGAGCTATCTGGGTTAGGAATCATCCAAAACTATATTTATGTTGTTAGATTATGTTTATGTTATCATAAGATAGGGGTTGCAAAATCCAAAGTGGCCCATAATTTCCTCTCTATAATAATAATAACATTCTCGAATAATAAGAAAATATCAACGATAGCTATTTCGCCTTAAATTAATATATCTACGTTTATAAATTTACTTTCGATACAAATTATTTCTGAATTATATTACTAATATAAATATTATATTACTGATAATATGATTGCATACCCGAGTTCACTGTACTCGCCAAATGAAGCACGTATACAGGTTGAATCTCTCGCTGGTAGGGTCGAGAGGAAAGCCGCCTGTTTGGCCATTTAAGAGTCGCTATTCTTGCTGAGCAGTCTATGTGTCTGACGAAGTCGGAGAGAGTGTCGATTTTCGCTGTCTCTTTATCACAACGACCCTATCAGAGAGCGATTCACCCTATAGCTACTTACAATTACCGATGGCGATAGAAATACAACGATTCATCATTCTGTCCACGAGTACACTGTTTCAGCAGAGATACAATAATATATATATGTTACAACGGTCAATCGAACATAAACGTATCAATACGTTTATGTCCGATAAAGGTACACTGTTCCAGACCAACGAATCTATCGATCTACCTCCAAGAGCACAGCTGGAATTCTCTTTCCCCGATGTTCTCCAGCACAATAACAGTCTTCGCTGGCGGTCTTTCCTCCGCGTAGTAGCATATAGGCAGATCCTCGTGTTCTTTCGCGAATCTCTCGTAAAACAATATCTCGTTGTGGAACTGAGCGTCGCACCTCATCATCTCCCGTAGGGCAGCCGACTGTGATGGCTTCTTCACCACGATGCTAACGGTCCTCTTGTCCGTGTCCTCGTTCGTCGAGTTCGCGATGATGTTCACAAATAACATACTCGATATGTAGAACGAGTCGTCCGGCGACAAAAGATCGTAACGAACATCGTCGAATCCATTGCCCAGATTTTTGGCCACCTTGTCGATCAGGTGGTCCAATCCGTCCTGATCGTCCGTCTGGTGGTTCGCCATCATTGCGCGTTATCCGTTCAACGTCGTCTCGTCTGGTCGTCTAGAAGCTTCCTCCTGCCAGCCACACGGACTGACAGCGAACACTGCCGACTGGGAACAGTTGCGTTTATTGTGCTGCAACGCGATAACACTGAGTCTATGGGAAGATAGGAGCCGGAGAGTGGGAGGAACACGAAGTCATCGTGCAGCGTCTCGCTGCTGCGAACTGAGCGAGACTCCCGTACGCGGCCACGACGCGATGCAAACTGAAGAGCAAGTGGAATGATTCGAGCGAATGGATGTGATGCAACCTATTCCTGTCTCGTGTCACGAACAGAAGGCGCAATAAAATATGTTTTTACTGTCGAGTCATTATCATCATCAGGGGTGTTCCGTGCGATTGAGTTTGCTCAACGTGTTTAACGTGTATATTTCTGTAATTGTTTACCATTTTATATACTGGGTGTTATTTCCAACGCGACGCACGATTTTTCACCCACTAGCAGCCATCTGACAAAAAGAAGTTTGGAACAAGAGTTAGAGGGTATAGAGTGTACAATAGATATCAGTAAATAAAATTTCGAAAACAGTTCGTTTTCATGGCGAAATCGTAGTCACCTTGGGTTTTACAAATAGGAACACATATTTTTTTTTATCGTATTCAGGGGACATCGAGACGAATTCAAAACACGTATTACATGATATTTTTACTAACATATTACTCGATTATATACAGTGTCGTACGTAATACGAATTAAAAAAAATGTTATTGCCATCACATGCACGCCTTAAAACCATTTACATTCTATACATATAGTCAGTTTTTTTTACTTTCAATAGTAGCGAAAATAATGTAGGTGCTCGAGTTAAAATTAACACCCTGTATACATACATAAGGAGATAATGAGGATTTGACGAGTTGACTGTAATTGGTAATGACTCGAGGAGAAACGTTAGATGAGAAGTAAATTGTGACTTTAGTTGAGCTCGTATCAAGGTCCAGAGACACGTCGACTATGGGTTAGGCATGCTCTGGCTACGTGTGCACGAGAGTTGATAGAATGATAGGTTCATTCTCCTGGCGGAAGCGTGATTCTCCGATAGCTGAGGAACGGTCCAATAACGGAAAATGACGCAAGGAAAAAAGGTTACGTGAACGAGCACCGATACAATCGGTCGTGGAACGTCCATTTTCTTTTGTTCTGGAATGTAAGTTATCATCGGTAGCTAACAATTTGTAAGAGAGCGCGCGTGTTTCTGCTCGAAGTAAATATTTGCACGATGTATGTATAGCCGACAATCCTCCTGTCTCATCGTAGATTTCATCAGGGATTCGAAGTTACTGACATTGCCTTGGAATATTTTCTTCTGTCTTATCGTTGTTAGTAAATATCAGGAATTTCTATTTTTACTCCATAAGCTCGTTGTATATCTATTTTTTTTGTCGCGTGGTATTGAAATATCCGCTCTTTTTAAAGTCGTTTCAATTATAAATGTACACGTAATACATAATTGTTAACGACGTTAAGTGCATACAATAGCATGTAATTCCTCGCTCGAAATTCGCTTGCTTGTTACGCAACGCGTACTAACGACTGGTTATGTTAATAATTGATTTCCCGTTCACGTCTACAATCTGCTTCAATTCAATCCACGTTCTCGCTCTGATCTCCTGTTACCGATGCAACTCTTTACACCTGTCACGATATGTACCAATGCACAGTGACTCATTGATCCACTGGTTACTTCCATACAATGATCAGGTGTTACGAGTTGTTGTTATTTAGAGTGGTCAACGATCATGACTCACGATACGATTTAATCATACGGTTCTATAGTCATTCGATTTCATTATCAAATTGTTGGAGTTTACTTCGAATGCATTCCAAGATGGTCTATGAGACACATCCATTTTTTGGACTCCTTAATTGTGATGATCTATATATTTTCTCCTATTTTCCTGTACATCTTGC